ATTACGCCTAGAGAGCATTTGGGGGCAAAAACATCATTTTTTGGTGGGAGAAGGGTGGTGGAGAAGTGTTGTCCTCCAAAGTGTCCTGAGGGACTAAAACGGCCCCATAGCCGTGGTGTACAGTGTGATGCAGCAGCCAAAAAGGCTAATGCAATTCTAGGCTGCACAATGTAGCCAAACTTTGATCACTCAATCACTAGCTTCCAATCCAGCATAAGAATATCACCAGCACTCTCCAGTCACAGGGCTTGGGGGGGGAAGGAAGATAATGGGAGGTCACTGAGCTGTAGGTATTTTTGTTCTCTAAAGACAGGTTTGTGCTGGTTTGCTAGATCCATCTAGTAACAGTAGCAGATATTAATCTGCCTGTCTGTCTGGCTCTGTCAACTGTTGCAACTACCTGCACCCCATACTATCTCTTGGTGCAGTATTGCATAAAATACCACTTTGCGGGCAGTTTGCAAGATTTTTGGGAAGTTGGAGGAGTTTTTTTTTAAATGGAGTTCATATAGATTTGGGAACTGCAGGAAACCATAGAGTCACTTTTTGAGTTCATATTCACAGGGCAAAACCCCCAATAAATGCCACGGCATTCTGTGCCTAAACTGCATGACTTGGTGCAGTTGTTCCCACCTCAGCATCCAGTTGTCCCTCAAACATACCATACAATAATAATAATAATAATAATAATAATAATAATAATAATCTTCCTTTCTTCCCAGAACTGGGATCCAGAGTGGATCACAATATTAAAAGATCAATGCAATTAAAAACATAGAAAAGTGGTGCATTAAAATAGAATTAAATTGTTACAATATTAAAATAGATTGCTATTAAAAGAATAAAATACAATTTAAAAAGATAAAATTGTTTAAAACACTTTGTTGTTTTGATTGAGATTTGGTGAGGGAAGGCAGGAAAGGGCATACCCTTGTCCTCATCACCATCACTGCACAACCTCCAGCATTTTATAGACAAAAACAAGGATACGTCACCAAGCAACATCAGGATGCAGTCAAAACGACAAAAGAGATTATTACACCTTATCCCATCTTTTCCCGATAGGATACACAGACATCTAACTCCAAAGATGGGTTTTACTGCATTTTCCTGTATGCAGCCTGTATGCAACTCGGTTTTATCCAGTGACTTTTCAAGGACCTTGCAAACCCGCGGGATAAGTCTAGGTTGCATACGGGCTGCATAGGGGAGAATGCAGTAAAACCCATCTTTGAAGTTAAATGTGTGTGTATCGTGTCAGAGAAAAGGCCGGATAAGGCACATACGATAATCTCCAAAAACTCTTAATGAGGAAGGACACACAAGCTAGAACAGGCTGCAGCAGTTTGCTTTTGCCTGAGTCTACTGGGAAGGTTCATGATCACACCCCCTACTCTTCTCTCCTGGGTGGTGAGCTAATGGAATGCAAGCTACTTTTGCACTTTGAACTCAGATTGCAGCAATTGAAGTCAGTGGAGGACAAAGGGGAAGAGGAGAGAGAAAATGGGACATTTTAGAAGCAGCTGAAAAACTAGTTTGATAGAGGGTTAATCAGGACTGTCCTTGTCAAATCAAGATGGTTGAAGAGTATGTTAGTGGGGACTACTCAGGAATATGAGAGGAACTAAGAAAAGGAAGCTAGATGAGGACTTTACCTCCCAGAGGTTTCAAAAGAACCTCTTCCTGCCCTGCTTGCAGTTGGATCAACAAAAGCACTCTCAAAGGACCAGGATAAGAGGAGCATTGTCCTGACCTTCAGAAACAACAACTCACCACCACCTGTTAGTACAGAGTTGCACAGTACAGTTCAGTTCGTGCACACTGGGTTTTCTCACACTCTGGATGAACCTTTAATTACTTTTGAAAATCTGAATGCACAAGATGCAGCAGGAGTCAGGAGCTGAACCTTGTGATGAGGCTGGATCCAATCCTAGATTTAAGGGAGTTGGGGTTGGGGCTCTGAAGCAGTTCCCATGACAGCTCCCCAGTTTCTGCACATGTATGACTTCTCCTATTAGAAAGCTGGCTAGATACTATAGTGCAGTGGTCCCCAACCTTTTTATTGCTGTGGACCAGTCAATGTTTGATAATTTTTCTGCGGCCCACTGGGGGGGGGGGGGTTGTGGCATCGCATAAAATATGCTGCACAGAAGACACAGTAGTAGGGCGGCCCGGTACCATTTGTTCTGCGGACCGGTACCGGGCCGCGGACCAGGGGTTGGGGACCACTGCTATAGTGGATCTGACCTGATGGTACTGCTGGGCTAAGAGAGGCCCTCCTTAGGGCTAAAGCCAGCCTTTTTTGGGCCGAGGTATGGGTTGCTGTTGGACACCTTCTTGCCTTGATCCCAAATAGCATGATTAATGCAAAGTCTAAGAGGCAGCAAACCCAAATATACCACCTTCCTATTCACTCCCAGCACTTGGGAAATAGGCTTGGTGGGCTTTCATTGCTACCAACCTTGGAGAAAAAAAAAAGGGAGAGAGATCTTCAAAGTTACTTCCTTTCCCCAGGCAATTCCTCTGTAGATAGCATCACAAAACCAGAAGTATGTGTCTCTGTGTAGCACCACTGAAGGGCCTGAAGCATTTGTTCCAGCTACACCATTGACCAGCTGTGGGTACATCCTAATAACTATCAAAGTGACTTAGGGTCTAATTTGCAATCCAAAAATAATGCTTTTTGCCACTGCTTTAACTGCCATGGCTCAATGCTATGGAAGTCTGGGATTTGTAGTTTGGTGAGAGATTTAGCCTTCTCTGTCAGAGAGCTCTGGTGCCACAACAAACTGCAAATTGCAGGATCCCGTATGATGGAGCCATGTCAGTCAAAGCTGTGTCAAACTGCATTATTTCTGCTGTGCAGATGCAGCCTAAAAGGTTGCAGTTCCACCATGTAAGGAATAAAGTTACTATTCCTAATTAAGTAGTTTATCGCTTGTCATTTCTAGACCGATCTCAGCATGGGCATGGAATGGGATGGAATGGGCAAGAACGGGTTTTACCGCTCAGGAAAATACTGCTGATGTCGCCGAGAGTCCCCAAGCCATTTCCCATCTGTTCCATGGCCACGGATTTTGAAGAATGGAAAGCTACCGTTCTTTAAAATCGGCTGTCATAGCACAGATGGGGAATGGCTTTGGCCTGGATCGGTTTGGAAAGGACGTGTGAGAAACTTATAAGATACACTTGCTGTGATGTTGAAATGCCTTTGATAGTGAAAACATGAATTTCCAGACTCTGCTCCCAACCTTTACTACTTCCTTTCAGCTCACAGTTTCCCATCAAGTTGATTCCTACTCTTTCCTACAAGCCAGGTCAGTAAGGGCATTTCCACAGTGTAGTTAGCTGATGATTGCAACAAGAGTCCTCCTGTTAACAGTTGGTGGCTGTGGTTTTACAATGGGGAAATGGACTTGAAGAGGGAGGTGGATTTCCCAAGGCAATTTCCCAAACAGTAAAACATTAACATGCCTTCCTTCCTGTTTTCATACATATGCTTAGTGTCCATCTTTTAGCAAATTGGTTTGGGACAGAGACCGTAGCAACGGAGTAGGAAATGGAAAGAGTATTTAAATATTTGGAAAATGGTAAAAATTTTGTTCTGTGTTGATATGGTTTGGAGGGATATCTATGCATCTCAATGCAGAACAACATACCAATAACATCTTGACAAAATGCAGGCCTGTGACTAGCATTGTCATATATTTTTTTCTTCTGTATGATTTTTAACACTTTTGAATGACGAAGAAGTCAGTGGCCCTTCAAAAGCTTTATCATATATTTTGTGCATTGGGGTTGGCTGAATAAAGGTACTGTATCACTGTTTTGAAGCTTCATGAAGGCTTCTATTATGTGAACTTTCCTCTCCATTGACCAAGATGCTCATTTACATTACAAATGCCACTCCTTGGTTCATAAATGAGAGATGCCCCAAAGCAATCTAGATTACCATGCTTAAAATTCCCCAGCCCTGAGCCTTACACAATAAACCAGTGGGTTAAAAACCCAGAATCCACCTCAAAGCAAAATAATAAGAAAAATAACA